TATTTTGGGGCCTTTATAGTAAGGATCCTATTATTTAGGGTACTATATTAGGGTTCCCTATTTTGGGAAACCCCCATATGGGGACAAAAGTGTATGGACTCGGCTACATGCGATACCATCGCAGAGGACCCTGAGCCGATGTATTTCGATGCCCTCCAAGCACAAAGCCCAACTACAGCTAAACCCTAAACCCTAAACCCTAAATCCTAAACCCTAGACCCTAAACCCTAAACCCGCAAACCCGAAGAGCTTTACAAGGCTATAGCCCCCCCGACTAAACCCTTGGCCTGCGATTTGGGCTTCGCCTTGGGGCGCTCGGCTTTTGACCGAAAGAGCGATGCAAACCTCAGAGCTTCAACGGCAAGGGGTCCCAACTAATGCTCTGAAAAGTTTAGGGTTTAGGGTTTAGGCGGCTTATCATAAAAAACTGATATCCTGTACTATCATATGGTATATTGTATTGAACTCTACAGCTGAATTCCAACGTTAACCTTGTGCGCCTTAGCTTGTCGACTTCCACACCCGGGACAGCTCGGTAACGGGTCTCAGCACTACAGCCAAACAACGTCTGGTTCTGAGGCAGATTAGGGTTTAGGGTTTAGGATTGCTCCGGAGCCCAGCCCGTCCGCCAACTGCTGTGAAAAACAAGAGATAGGCACGCATTGGGCACTGTCCCTACCCTGTAACCGCCTATATTGGGGATCAGGTTAATTCAGGGCCTACATATCTTAAATATATTCAAATATTATCCAAGCGTAACAGAGTGGGGGCAGTACCCTGAGGCATGCTATGCTTTTAGGCCACCCTGAACCCTTTTTTGACCCAGACTCCTGCCAATCAGCTGGGAAGCAGCACTCTAAACCCTTTTTCAGCATTGACTGAGGTGCCGGCCAGTGCCCATGCAACCTTTACCCCGTCTTAAGGCAAGAGCGAACAGCTTTTCCCCTAAACCCTAAACCGTGTGACCCAGCTTTTGCAAGCGCGCATTGCCTTTCCGAAGGTTGAGTCCTTAAGCCCCAAACTCGAAGCTCTAAACTCCTGTACTCACCCTATATTTACACTCATAGGGCTTAAGGCTTAGGGTTGTTATGTAATCGTATAGAAACGTTCTAGCATCGGAAACTCCACAACTCTTTATGTACACCCTAAACAGCCGCTCTACGTCTAAACTCTACAGGGACCTCCTGCATCACGGCCAATCTCAATCATGAGGCATTGAAATCGCTGCCCTTGCGCAGGAGAAAGACTACAGCGGCAAGAAAGGGGCGGAAGTCATGGCTACTTCCTCGTGAATGTACCCAGGCCCGCGGACACCTTCCTGGACCCTAAACCCTAAACCCTAATTTGGTGGGGGTTTGGGGCTTGGAGTTGAGACTCTAAGGCCAGGGACTACCATGGAGATCTTGTCAAACATCGCGTTTCGAAGAGCATGGGCTTGAAGTAAGACAGTACGAGGCATAAGGCAGGGGCCCCAAGAATCAGAATAGGGTTCTTGGAGTTCCTTCTTCTAACTAGTTCTTTTATAATATGCCCCCCAAACCCTATTCCCATGTTTAAGGCCCCTTTTTTGAGCATGCTTTGACAGGCTGCCTTTGCTTGAGGAAAAGGCTGCGGCACAGAGGCTCTCGCGGCGGAGTTCGGTCTTACCTATAGTCTCCATTGTAGTTCCTTTTTTTGGTTTCACCAAATATATAAAGGAGTTTATAAGGCATCCCCAAAAAGGAACTACAATGGAGACTATAGGTACGATCTTGGAACGACAAGGCGCATTAACCATCGGTTGCTTATGGGAGTTAGGATTGGGAGGACCCTTGGGATATAGACCCTCTCAATAAAATAAGGTCCCTTTAAAGAGAGCTAGAAGTAATGTTTAGAATGGTCCCCTTTCAGGGGTCTCCCTCACACTACCGACACACACACACACGCGGACAGAAGGCAATGATTATGATTCTGTCGATGCTGCATGGAAGTGGTGCCGGGCAAAGAGATGCAAGGAGCTACTTGTATTGCACATCGCATCCTTGGACTAGTCTGTCGACGGTCTCCGACTGCCTGAACATGTCAATTGGGTTGGGGTGTCGGGCTTGAAAGGTACCTATAGTCTCTATTGTAGTTCCTTTTTTGGGTTTAACCACATATATACCAAGGATTTTATACGGTACCCCCAAAAAGGAACTACAATGGAGACTATAGGTAAGGGGTTATGTTTCATGTTGGCTCCGGGTGGTCTTCGGATGCCAAATGCTCAAAGCCAACTAAGTGGAAAGCTCACAAAGGTCCCCCGGGGTTAAGTATTAGGCAAAAAAAGGTTTAGGGTTTAGGGTTCAGGGTTTAGGGTTTAGGGTTTAGGGTTTAGGGTTTAGGGTTCAGGCCCCCGGTTTAGGATCAATTTTAAACACGATGCATGCACGGATCACCGACTTGGTCAGGCTGCAGCGGCTACGCTCAGCCACAAATTTGTGGAGTTAGAAAGTGCCGGTGCCTCTCGAAGTAAGGGCGTCTGACAGGCCCAGAAGACCAGCAAAAGACCAGCTTGACTGTAAGATTTTGGTAGAAGCCTAAACAGAACCTTGATTCGAGAGACCCTTAAACGCGATGAGCTGGGTCACTCTAGCTCACTCGCGGCTGGTGCCACGAATCAGCCGGCTGCCCAAAACTCTGCGTAGGTGAGCCCCAAACCAAGCTCACCAAAGTTGCTGCCTTTCCGGAACACCGCGTGAGACCCGTAGAAAGGGCCTTACATAAACCACGACCTTCCTATTCTCGTGATTTTGGCTGGCCAAGGGCTCATGCATAGAAAGTCCTGTACTTGGAACGGACGCGGGTGTTTGTCGTCGCCTGATACTGCCGCAACAAAGACCCTCAACTAAGCCTGGCAGTAGCAGTAGTCGTCCTCGTTGTGGTTCGCAGCACCAGTAGCAGTAGCAGCAGCAGTAACCGTAGCGGTAGTAGTAGCGGTAGCGGTAGCAGTAGTAGCAACAGTAGTAGCATTAGGAAAGGGTGGCAGAAGTAGTGGTAGGAGTAGTAGTGGTAGTAGTAGTAGTAGTAGTAGTAGTAGTAGTTGTAGTAGTAGTAGTAGCAGTAGAAGTAGTGGTAGTGGTAGGGCTAGGGGTAGGGGTACGGGTAGGGGAAGGGAAAGGGGTAGGGGTAGTGGTAGTGGTAGTCGTAGCGGCAGTCGCAGTGGCAGTGGTCTAGTATGATAGTAGTCGTCGTCGTAGAAGCAGGTACTGCTCCTACTACTACGGCCACAACAACGACAACGACTACTACCGTTCTATTACTACTACTGACTATTATTTTACTGCGATTACGACGACGACGACGACGACGACGACGACGACGACGACTACTACTACTACTACTACTGCGACACTGCTGCAGCTGCTGCTGCGGCAGCTGCTGCTGCTGCTGCTGCTGCTGCTGCTGCTGCTGCTACTACTACCGCCAAGTACTGCCAACCTCAACTGTCAAGCTGCTTCATGTATACGCATATTTTTCATAGTATATATATATATATATTTGTGTATACATGCGCACACACACACATAAAACGTGTGTGCATATTTACATTCAGATATGTATGTATGCACACACGTTTATGCATTCACACATGCACATGCACATACACACACACACACATGTTTGTGCGCGCATGTTTCGCCGCTTTCCGTTCAGCGATCAGGAGCGATCGGCATCACGTCCTTGCGCAAGTGAGGCAGGGCGTTTGGAAAGTTTTGGGTTGAGCCACATATGGTCACTGGTGTTCTCGTGCCTCGAAATTGCACGTAGTTCAGGCATTGTCACAAAGTTGTCGAGAGCCTGAGGCTCCATGGGTCAGTAGCACGTACTCTCCACGATGGTGACACTGGCAATAAGTCAGACAATGCCTGCAGATCGATCAGCGACATTTGAGGCCTAACCGTCTCGACTGGTTTGACATTGTTTGGTCTAGCCTGATCGCTGGCGTTCTCATGCCTGTGCATGGCATGTGGTTGCGGCATTGTCACAAAGTCGTGCTCCGGATGTAGCCAGCTAGCATGTAATCCCAATGCGCAATGACAATGCTTGCATATCGATCAGCGGTGCTGCCAAGAAGTAACTTATGTCCTGTTACTGGCGCTATGAGCCACATGTAGAGGGCTGTCCCTCTCAATTTGGAACCCCATGTGTTCCGTGGATGTCATTGTGGATGTCATTCGCCGCTAGCAGAGCTGGCAGTGCAAGCCACTTTTTCATTTTTGCGCTGGACATGTTTAAGGGATCCACAGCAAGCGGTCCATGATGTTCATGACATGTTCCTGCATAAGTCTATGTCAGGATTTTGTTTGCTGTTTCTCGGACCCTGGGCTATTCCAAGCTTTGAAAGTACCCTAAGGGTCCATGTACCCAAATAGTACATACATTGGCCCTAAAGTACCTATATAGGGACTATATACATTGAGGCCAAAGTATTGGGTACATGGACCCTTAGGGATAATTATCCGTCTTCATCCGAGCAGATCAGAGTGTCTCTCGTGTATGTCCGTGTGGGACTGGATGGAATCCTGGAAGCGAATCCTGGCAAGGCACCACCGCTATCCCAAAGGGTCTAAGTACTAATATGGTAGATACTTTGGGGCTCAAAATACCTACTATATGGGTACTTAGACCCTTCGGGTATTTTCATGAATCACTCAAGCAGTCCAGGAAATGGTACGTACAGCTACAACTGCGAACCCCCTGTGTGTATTTGCTGATGTATGTGTGTGTGTGTACATCCGAACATTTGTGATGTGAGCATTCGTGCAGACATGTGCACGCATGCTTGGATTTTGCGCATGTGTCAATGGCAGGTTTAGATACGTAGAAGCATAGCCACATCTTGTACTCTCCACCCAAGTGCCAGCACGAACTCGTGTATACCCATCACAGCAAAGTATCTAAGCATTCAAGGACACAAACAGATGTATGAGCGCATAGGCACATATGTAGATGCAACCATACATGCACACAAGCACGCATACATGCGTGCTTACCTGTCCCAGATGCACAAGCAAGGGGCTGTTCAAGACGTTCCGACACAAGCACATTTTGTGCAAAGATTTAGCAAGACGTAGGTGACAAGCACCAGGGACACTATGTAGCTGTTGATTTATCTTCGCAGCACGTACACCTGCAGCATGCCAGCATGCATGCATGCATGCATGGATGCATGCATGCATACATGTATGTATGTATGTGCGTATGTATGTATGTATGTATGTATGTAGGTATGTATGTATGTTATACATATATGTATGTACGTACGCATGTATGTATGTATGTATGTATGTATGTATGTATGTATGTATGTGTGCATGGACGTG